CACTCATCCACCACCCCCACCACACACGCACACACGCACACACAAAGTAAAAAGTGCTGACCCCAGACATCAGTGCCATGACAGAACCCCCCCAACCCAGCCATCTTCGGTTTATTTACTCAACAAATGCTTGAGCTCCTACTAGACACCAGGCACTGATCCAGACACGGAAATTCTGCATTGACCAAGACAGACAAGGTCTTTCTCTGTGGTCAGGAAGCCTCTTTTGTAATAAGGGGAGACAAACAATAAATGAACACGGTGAGAAAGAGAATGAAGTGGGGGGAGCTCGCAGAGAGGAATGGGGGGGGCTGGTCTACAGGGTGGCCAGGCCTCGCTGAGGACGTGATGTTTCAGCTGCACCCTCCTTGACAGGAAGAAGCCAGCAGGACAAGGTTACAGAATAGAGATTCCAGGCGGAGAAGAGCCAGGGCCAGGCCTGGGCCAGGGGGTGAGCTTGGCTTGTTCGGCAAACAGAAAGGCGGTGGGCAGGGCATGGTGGGTGAGGGGTGGGGGGAAGTCAGTCAAGAGGCAGCCCAGGGCTGAAGGTGTAAGCAACAGAGAGGAGCGAGGAGCGTCTGTGAGGGGCTCTGCCGTGCCGTTGGGGGAGGGAAGGTGGCCTGACTGACCTGCTCTTCTCCCGGCAGCCACCAGGCAGCACAACCCTCCGCGTCCCTGCTGCTGGCCTCTGTCGGCTGATGTGCCCCATCAGCCTTCTGTGGAAACCAGCCCTCTGGGCTGACGGACCCTCTGAGGAACCCCAGAAGCCTGGCCAGGGACCCACTCAGGTGACCCGCTGGATTTTGGAGGAAGTGCTGCCCACAGTGCTGCCCGGCCAAGGGAATTTTCCCAGCGTGTTCTGGCAAGGTTGGCCAACCGAGCAAACCAAGACCACTGAGTCAAATGAGCTTGACACTGTATAGTCACTGGGCAGCCTTCCAGTGAGCAATTCCAGAATAGGGCAGAAACCCTCCGACCCCAGCTCCACTTTGCCCTCTGTCCAGCCCGTGTGCTGTGGGAAGGACAGTCAGATGGTCACCCCAGTGTATGCTTTAGTCCAGAAGCTCAAGGCCTTCTGATCATGGGACCCGTTCTTAGAGATAGGGGTGGGGCTGGGTGGTGTTACATCAGCTTTTCCCCACAGAGTCCCTTATTTCCTAAGAGGGTGTAAAGAACCTCAGTACATAAAACAGACGAAAGCTTTGCCTCCCTGATGGAGCCAGGACACGCCTCCCAAGCCCATCCCCATCCTTCTTTGCCCTCACTTACTGGTAGCTTTAGGCAGTGCTTGTGCTCTCTGGCCTCAGTTTCCTTCTCCGTCAATGCGCAACTCGACTCAGTCTCCCTACCTCAGCTGGCCACTCAAGTCCCCTCGCCCTTGGCAGCAGAGCTCTGAGAAAGGTCATCAAGGGCCCCTCCCACGCAGGGAGAAACGGGTGCCCGAGTTGCACACCCACGCGCGTGGCAGGGTCTGCAGCGCAGAGCAGGAGGGGAGCCCCCCAGCTGCCCGCCGGAATCCTGCATGACAGGCGAGCAAACTGTGAGGACCAAGCACCCCCACAACTGTGGGGCAGTAATCGGCACCACGTGTCCCTTCGGCAAGCAGTGCCCGAGGAGCAGGCCCCCGTCTGAGGCAGAGTTCTGGCCTCCCGGGCCGATGGCGGGCTCTGGGGCCCGGCTCTGCCTGGGGTGCACTCAGGGCTTCCTTGGGCCTCGGTCACCCAACAGTTAATGCATTTCCTCTTGACTGACAACCAGCACAACACCAAAACAGTCAACTATTTTTATCTCCGGATTAATCACAAAAGGCTAACACTTCCACCTTCCCTGTGATTAAAAATTAGGAGACCAAACTCTATAGTGGTTCAGGATAATAACCAATCCTGTGAGGGCGATGTATGAATAATGCATCTCCGGGCTCGGGCGGCTCGCGCCTCCCCCCCACCCCACACCCAGCAGCCCCAGCTCTGGGCCCGGTCTGAATGGAGAGGTAATGAGTTGCCCCCTTCCATCCGCGCTACAGCTGCCAAGAGCGACTGTTGATTTCAATTCAGCCTCCTGGCCCCCAAACATCCTCCCTCCTCACCCACTCCCTCCCTGCACATCCCAGCCCCATCCGCACCCCCTCCTACCCCATCTGGTGTGCAGCGAGGCGAAGGCCAATCAATAATGCATAGCTACATGAATAACCGCATGATAACCACTTATTTAGGAAGATATAATCAGGACCCATTCGGAGGATGGATGTTTGTGTGTGTGAGCGTGCACGCGCGCCTGGGTACTCATGAAGCAGCCTCCCACTCGCCTCTCCCCTCCTCTGCGCTCCCTCTAATCCAATTTTCCAAAACACAGGACTAGAACCGCAAGAAGGAAACTTGGCCCCTCACTGTATTTGGTTTTTAGAAAGACCTCCTCGAGCTCTACGCTGTGATCACAGTGTGATACGCACCTGAGCAAAGGCCCGGGGACCGTTGGTTCTCAAACCTGCTCACGCACTGGAACCCTCCCGATGCTTGGGGTCCACCTCCGGAGATTGGAATTTAGTTGGTTAGGGTGTGGCCTGCCAACGGGATTTTTAAGATCTCCCCCAGAGTCTTGTACTATGCAGCCAAGGTTGGAAACCACTGTCTCAGACCCAAGAAATGTCAGTGCCAGAAGGAACGGTCCAGATCTCCTGTTGTCCTTTCATATTTTGTGTCTGGGGAAATAAAACCAGGAGGAGGGACAGCCTGCCCCAATTCACCTTCTGATTTAGGGCACTTTCCACAAGACCACAGCCCCTGGCTCTCCAGTGGGGAGTCCCGGAGACAAGGATGGCCTGGTGTTTCTTCTATTCCTGGAGCTTCGAATGGTTCTTTCCAACTTCTCCGGCTCTCAGGCTCAGCCAGAGCGCCTCCATCCTGGACACCTACTGGAAAGAAAGCTGCCACCACAGAATAAAGGGGGGCAAGAGCCCCAGCCCCGGCCCTCCCTGCTGGAAGGGGCCCAGCATTGCATAGAGCCAAAATTCCCCTCATCAGCAACTGTCACACCCACCCCCCCATTTGTGCAAAGCCCTCATTAGCCTCCCTTTTGCTCTCTGGCCACACCAGCACCAAGGAGGCCTCTGGCACTAATGAGGGAGTTTGGGGTGGGCGGGGGTGGGGGGGTTGTCCTGATCATCCAGCCCACAACCAACATCTGCCTGAGCCCAGAGCCCCCCTGGGGAGGCTGGGCAGGGTTGGATGAGGCCAACTGCCTCTCTGGGCCAGGATCTCCGGTGGAGTTCTGGGGCTGTTGATAGAATCTTGGAAACCCCGAGGGTTTGTTTTTCCTCAGAAAATAGAAACTTGGGGGTTGGCACTCACTGGGCTATAGTTCTGAACCAGGCCTCCTCCAGGCCAGGAAGGAAGCGGGCACAGCCACAAGCTGAAGGTGCTGCTTTGGGTGTTTACCTGGCCCCAGAGCCTCCTGGAGTCTCCTGGGTGCACTAGGAGAGTGGCAGATAGGGGAAGGCCCTGGGAAGGGGAGGGAGTCAGGCAGCTTGTGGGCACGAGGTCCTGGGGGGCAGAGGGTGGAAGGCACAGCCTGCTGGGTCAGGACCAGCCTGGCACCACTGTCTGTCTGTCTTCCCTGATCCCCCAGGGCAGAAGCTTGCACGGGGCCTGGATAGAAGCAAGGACTTTCTCTGGCAATTGGGCAAAGAAGGCCTTTTGTGCTAAGACCCCAACCCATCATCACCTGACTTCCCCTTCATCCATTCGCTCAGCAAACATGCAGCTCAGCCCTCCTCAAGCCTCAGAACTGACTGACGCAGCCCCTCCCTGAGGGGCCGGGGAGAGGGTGGGGGGAGAAGCCCAGGGACTTCCCAAGTGGTCTCCAGGGAGCCCTTCCCCTTCTGCGGTTTGTCCGTTTGTCCAAGGAGGAGAGGCGGGAGCCGCAGAGGCCTGAGACCCGCCCCATGTGTCCCTAAGCACAAACATCAGAAGAGGCTCTGTGACCTTAGGCCAGTCATTAAACTTCTCTGGGCCTCTCCTCCAGGTGATGGGCATCTATCATCATAAGTGCCCATCCTACATCCCAGGGTCGTCAAGAGGATCAAAGGGGTTGACTCCAGTGGACTTGGCAAATGTTTATGGAGTGTCCGCCAGGGACTGGGCCCTGTGCTGGGCTGGGTGAGAGATGCAGCCGCTGCAGAGACATCTTCCCCACGTTGGCATGCCCCATCTCTCAGGAGCCACGAGTCTCTGATCACGCCTCTGTGAAATGCCACGGGAGAAGTGGGCAGCAGAGATTCATCTTAACTCTGAGATGAGGCAGTTGGAGCCGTTCTGGGAGAATCAAGTTCCTAGGAGGTGCCAAGGGTCGCACAGCCCTCTGAAACACTGTCTCAGCCTTGCAAGGTTGCCTGCCCCCTGCCCCCTGCCCCTGCAAAGGCAGGGGACTGGCAGTGAGCTGCAGGTGTCAGAGGCCCTGGCTTGCGGCCCTGGCTCTGGCGCCCATTCCCCAGCGACCTTGAGCAAGTCACTTAATCCTGCTGAGCCTCGATTTCCAGAGCTATGTAATTGGGGTAATAATAATGTTTACCTTGCAAGACTGTTGTAAGGATTAAATCAGACAACAGATGTGACAGTGCTTGTTTAAAAAAAAGAGAGAAGTTAAAAAGAAAGAAAGTACAGATATTATCTTGGCAGCGGAGCTTTGCTTCCCAATCTGATCTGTGAAACGGAGCTAATGATGCCTGCCCTGTCCCCTCACAGGCTCATCGTGAGCCTCGGGTGAGATGATGGCATGAACATCGGCTGCAAATAAACATGCAGTGCGTATGTCAGGGATTATTGCTGTTTCTGCTATTATTGTTATAATACAAGGGGATTATACATTTTATTAAAGTATGATAATTATTGTTTGTCGTCGGCTCCATAAAATCCACCCAGGCCAGCCCACCAGCCTTGCCGGAGGGGAGCAGGGCCCTCAGTCTGACGTCTCTACTCCTCTCCCCCCCCCCGCCACTCCCGCAGTGCCACCTGATGACCCGGTCATCCTGGGGGGGCCTGTAATCAGCCTGCGGGCCGGGGACCCCCTCAACCTCACCTGCCACGCAGACAACGCCAAGCCTGCGGCCTCCATCATCTGGTTGCGGAAAGGAGAGGTCATCAATGGGGCTACCTACTCCAAGGTGAGGCCTGGGGGCGGGAGGGGGGCGGGGCCGCGCGGGGAGAGCCCACTTTCCCCAGCTCTGTCCTTGTTCTCTGTGTGTGCTTTTTGTCTCTCATTCTTTGTTACCCCTCTGTGTCTTTTTCTCTCTCGCTTCATGTCACTTTTTCCCTCTCGTCCTATGTTTCTGTTTATCTGACCTTTTCTGTCTCGATGACTGTGTAACTCTGTCTCCCTCTCTTCTTTCCTGGGGTAATTGCTGGGGCTCCCCAAGAATAGAGTAAGGTCGGAGGTGGAGGCTCAAGGACAGAAGTGGCCAGGCCTAGGGTTGCTAGATAAAATCACCCAGTTAAATTTGAATTTCAATATAGGTATATCCCAAATATTGCATGGGGCATAATTATGTGCCATACTTAGACTAAAAAATTATTCACTATATATCTGAAATTCAGATTTAACTGAGTGTCCTGGTATTTTTATTTGCTAAATCTGGCCAACTTTCCAGGGCTACCAGGTAAGGCTGTTTAGGTTCTTGCCTGTCCAAGACGCCTGACTCAGGAAGTCCAGCCCATAATCCCTCACCATGCCTTGCACCTGATATACCTACCTGCAGGGGTGTTTTTCTGTAATTCACACAAGGTACCATGAGCCGGAAATGCCTTGAACTGGCCCCTGTATTAGTTAGGTTTTTATTTTCTATATTTTATTTCTATAAAATATTCTATATTTTATTTTTCTATATTTTATGATGCTTTGACATCTCAAAGCCTTGTGGATGAGGAGGGACTGCCACTCCCAGGCTTAGCTAATTCCTAGAGACAGCAAACCACATGCTGAGAACATGCCTTTGGTATGCAAACGATCCTGCATCCAGACCCTCACCACGTCCCAGGTGCTAGCCTCCACCCCCAAATCCTCAGGGCCAGGTACCGGATAACTGGAGATCAGTCCTATAGCCTGGAGCTTGTGGAAATTATTCAAGCCACCCAATCCTAAAACCTTTCAGCTGCTCACCCTGCTTTGTCCATTCTTTCCCACAAGAACCATGATAAAGGCTTGCACCACGTTTTCCCTGTCTCCCGACCAACCCAGATGCATACCCCGTGACCCTATGTTGGAGCAGGGGCTCCCCCTCCTCTAGGGAGCTGTAACAAAGGACCTTCCTCATGGCAGTCATCTCCTGATCTGCTGGCCTCACCCTACCTGAAGAAAAATAAAATCCCAGGTACATGTTAAAGCCACCCCCACCAGACTCCACTCAAGGAAATTGTACATAGAGTCCCAGACAGCGTTTATATACCACAGAGTCTTTAAAGATGAACAGGACCATGGAGGATGGCCAGTCTGGTTCCCTTGATCTACAGATAGAAAGCCCAGGCCTGAAAGAGAAGTGACTGCCCTTCTCAGTTGGTGAGTGGCCCGAACGACAGTCTTGTGGTACCCAGGGCCGCGTTCCTTCCTGTGTTCCTCTCAGTGCAGCTTTAGACAGAGGGGCAGCTGCTGAGAGGTCGAGTCCGGCCCCAGGGCCAACCAGCACGCCCAGGCTCAGACTGGAGGTCCGGGCGGGCCTCCAGCACCCCAGCTCTCCTCTCCCTGTGGCTCTCCTTGGCTTCAGAAAGTGGGGAGATGTGTGACCCGTTCCCCACCCGCCCCCCACCCCACCACCAGCTCCTCTTCCTGGGTCTTGAAAAGATAAGCAAGGCTTTCATCACCAGTGGAGGATATGAGGCCAGAATGATGCTTCTCTGGGGGTGTGTCCTTCCTGTCCAAAGCTGACACCCGGCCAAAGAGTCAGCCCCGGGGCTGCTGATCAAGGCCCCACCCCGCTCTGGGCCCTCACCCAGAGTCTGGTGCCAGAACCCAGGACAAATGCCTTCCATCCGGTACAAGTTCACCCCGGTGGGGGGCCGGGGCGGGGGGAGCACTGAGAAATAAATCCCTCACTCACTCACATCCGGGCTGGAGCCACCCCTGTTGTGTTATGAAATACAAAAATTTGGCAGAGGGAATATATCATCCAGACGAGGATAAAAAGGAAGGCAAGGGGTGCTCCTTCCCAGCTGGGCATCTGTCCAGTCCCTCCTTGAAGTTCGGCCAGCCTGGCCCCTGCCAAGGTTTATGTCCTGCCGAGGACACACCCCCATCTGGTGAACAGAAAGTTCAGAGTCACCCTGCTGCGCCTTGTCCAGGGGTCACCTCGCCCCAGTACGTTGCGTCATCCATGTGGAGAAGGCCCCCCTGAGAGCCTGGCATGGTGCTACAGCAGACCAGGGCAGGAGGCCGTGCTAACCCTCTGCACCGCGCCCCCCGACCCCAGCCCTGATCACACTCCTGCAGGGAGACGACCAGCGTGGCAGCACCAGGCAGCGAGGGGCTAGGGTTCCAGACCCTGCTCTGTGAACCTCGGGAAAGTCATTCCTTGGGCCTCAGTTTCCTCTTCTGTAAAACAAAGGAATTGGATCAGACACTCTGTATGAGTAGGCTTGAGTTGCCATAACAAAATACTACAGACCAGTGGCTTAAACAACAGACATCTGTTTCTCTCAGTTCCGGAGGCTGGAAGGCCAAGATCAAGGTGCCAGTAGGGCTGGTTCCTGGTGAGATCTCTCTTCCTAGCAGACGGCAACTTCTCTCTGGGTCCCCACATGGCCTTTCTTCTGTGTGTGCAGAGAGACAGATCTCTGGTGTCTCTTCCTCTACTTATAAGGACACCTTAGCGTCCTTATGACCTCATTTAACCTTAGTGATCTCCTTAAAGGCCCTATAACCATAGATAGTCACACTGGGGGTCCGGGCTTCACCATATGAATTTGGGGCGGGGGGCACACAGCTCAGTCCAGAGCGGGTGCCTGCCAGCTCTAACAAGCTACAAACCTACGATGTGGAGCACCCAGAGAAGGGTGGGTGACCCAGCAGTGCTCACGTGGAACCAGCTCTAGGGGCCACCAAGTCCACCCCTCTGCCTCCCCGCTCCTTCCCCGGGACTGCAAGGACCAGTCACAGTGGCACTTCTGATGACCCGAAGGCAGAGCTGCCCCCACAAGCTCTGCTTGGGGTGGGGGTGGGGGGATGTGAGCAGCTGAAACAGAGACAGAAACAGAGCATTCAAATGCACACACAGTCAAGCAGCACCCAGGCGCCCAGCATCTACAGAAAAGATCGTCTGGGGCAGCCCAGACAGCCCTGAGGTCTGAAGCCCTCAGTATTTGTCACCTGGTGCTGGTTAAGCCCGTGGGCCCCGGAGCTGGGCAGCCTCACTTCGAATCCAGGCTCCACCCCCTTCCAGCTCTGTGAAGGTGAGCAAGCAAGCTACCTAACCTTGCGGTGCCTCAGTGTCCCCACCTATACAGTGGGAGCGAGAACAGCGCCTGCCTCAAAGGATAGCTGTAAGACTCGAATGAGAAGAGTGCCTGGCTGGCAGGCTCTCTGCCCGGCCCTCACTTGATCCTCTTGGACCCCAGGGTGCACCTTGCTCTCCCCTTTCCGAGATGGGAACGTCAGCGTCACTGTAGGGCTCCATCACATATTATGGTAACTTAGGCTCTCTGCCTCAGTTTCCCCAGCTGCAAAACAGGGTGCGGTTAGCCATGGATGCCCAGTAGGGTTGCTCTGAGACTCAAAAGGAACGATGTGCAGAAAGCACCTGGCAGAGAGAGTGCTAGCCAGTCGTGTTAGACCCTCCTCCCAGATCTCCATCCCACGTCCGCCTCCCTGGAGGTCATCCAGCAGCCCTGGTTTCAGGCAACCTTCTTTCTGCTATCCAGCATGTGGCCAGCAGGGTGGAGGATGGTGTCACTGAGGATGGCCAGGCCCCTTGCCCTGGGAGGAGAATCAGGAAAAAGAAGCGCCCTCTGCCTCCCCACCGCCCCCAGCACAGGCTGTGGCACCTCTACTTGAACACCCTGGTGGCCCGGGTGCTTGGGTGAGCGCCTGGGACTCCCGGCGGGTGTCTGTCTGCGGAAGCAGTGGAGCTGGTGACAAGGCCTCTCTCCAAGTCCTCTCCTCCCGGACGCCGCCAGTCATATATGTATTTACCTTGAAGCCCGTTACTCTCCAGCCCTACCTGTCTCCTCCCTCCAGCTTCAGGCTGCTGCCTGCCCAAGGGGCCCCCCCACCCACCCACCACCAGGACCAGGAGCCTCATTAGGGCCCTGTGCTAAGAGGAACTCTGGAACAACACCCCTTAAGGCTCTCACTGGGGCCCAGCTCCCTCCATGAGCCCCTTCCGCTGTGTATTCTCTCCCCAGCAGTCATCCCAGCACCCCCTCCATGTTTCTCTTAGGGGCCCAGAGTCTCCACGCAGCAAGGCAGTTGCCACCCATCTTGGCCTTCTTTGTGAAGGGCATCCATTCTCACCCAGGGCACAAGCCTGGGGTCCCCGAGGATGCAGGGTCTGGGGCAAATGGCCTTGTGGTTCTCCACCTTCCCTTACAGGCCTCATTCGAGCCACATGACAAGAGGCCCTAGCGGATCCCCCTCCCCACTCCCGCCCCAGGCAGCTATAAAAAGGGGAAGAAGAGAGAAAATTAAAAAAAAAAAAAAAAAAGGACACAGCAGGTGGGGGAGGTGAGTGAGGAGGGAGAAGAGGGAGGCCTTGTTGCCAGGCAATCAGGCCTCACTCAAGGGCTTTCCAGGCTGTTTGCATATCAGTGAGCTTCCCAGATTTAGCACCAGGGCTGGGGCACCCACCCCCTGCACTCCCTCCAACCTCCACACTGCACGCCCCGCTCCACCCCGTCATCTGTGGTTCCCACGCAGGCATCACCAGGCTGCCCGCCTCTTGGTGGGGCCTCTGGGCTCCCCACTGCCCAGCTGAGGCCTTCGGGGCTTTGGGAAGAGCAGAGCGAGCACGGCTGCCTACACTGGACAACCACACACAGGGTACATACTGTCCCCCCGCCCCAGCCCCACCTCCGGGCCTCGGCCAATTGAATGCCAAGTGCCTGCCCTCAGGGATGGCGCAGTGGGGCTGGGGGCACAGGAAGCTGCACCCGGCAGGCAGGGTCTAGAGACGCCTCACACAGCCACTGGGATGTATAGTCTGGAAAGCTTCGAAGCTGTTCGTGGATGGAGGCCCATGGACCCACACACACGCCGAGGGGTGGAAAGCCCACCGTGCACAGGCCCCTGCCCCGCATCTCCACACACAGTTGAGCTGGGGTCCTGGTAGAGCCACAGGAGACCCCAGCGAGGTCATGAGAGCCGGGCTGGGGGACTCTGAGGCCGGGATTTGGCAGCACGCTCCTCCTGACCAAGCTGGAGGAAGGGCTACCCCAGGCCTTGGAGGTGGTGGCCCCAGAGACAAAGTGACTTGCCATTCATAATCCACTTACCCTCCCTGAGCTGATTTGCATGCTAATACAGGTTTCTGGAGCAGGAGGTGGGAGGCTGGGGCCCAAGGTGTGTCCCCAGAGCCCAGTTCAGTGAAGGGAAGACCAGGAGAGGGAGAGGAGGGGAAAGCGGGCTGGGATGAGAACCTGCAAATGATAGACTGTTCCACCTGGCCTGTACCTTCAAGGCCACCACAAAGTCCAAAGGCTTCATCTGCATGTGAGAAAAGGGGAGACTGGGGAGATTTGCAAGAGGGGAATGAAGGAAAAGAGAGAAGAGAGAATAAGGAAGGACTGAGGGAAGAAGGGAAATAGGTTGAGAAGACAGAGGCCAAGCGCTGGCTGCAGAGTGGACAGGCCACCGGGCCACGGGACGTGGGGGGCGGGGCGGTCAGCTTTACACCTGCAGGTGGGTCCGTCTCCCCGGCCCTTCCCAGAACATCCTACCTACACCATGCCTGCACCCTGGCCTCTCCCTGGGGACACCACCGGGGTCCGATCCCTGGGAGCTGGGGCCCAGGGTGAGATGCTCAGCTTCCCAGGGGAAGCCAGCTGCTGAGTCCCTGCCTTCCCCTTGCTCTCCCCTTGGTTAATGAACACATCTCCCTTTTCTCTAATTAGGTGGAACAAACAACTTGAGCCAGAGTTTTTATTTCCCAGAAAAGCACATGCCCGGACACAGTAAATATGTCATTAATCATCATTCAGAGGCGCTGGAGCACCCTGGGTATGGGGAGGAAGGGAAGCAGTCAGAGGGCCTAATTAGGCGCTTCGGCCTCCCCGCTCCCCTCCGGCCAGCACCCTGGCAGCCCTGCTCCCTTCCACCAGGCGGGGAGCAGATCAATTGGAGAGGTGCCTGGCAGAGTCAAACTTCATGTAAATGTTCTTGTTAGCACAGCGTAAAAGTAAAGAAAAGGGGATGAGGAGGAACCATACCGACCTCCCTCCCCACCTCCCCCTCCCTCCACCCTACCCCAGGTCTTATTTCCATCCAGGAAATTGTTCTTATTAACGCCTGGCTATTTATAGACACATGAAGTCTGCTGAAGAGTCCAGAACCCTTACTGTGATAGGGCTTGGCTTGGGGCTAAACCACACAGCCCCGGGCCCCTCAACCCCCCAGCCCTGGGCCTATTCTGCTGGCCTCCAGTTTAGCTCCTGGCCCTGAGGCTGAGCTAAAGACCCTCATCCCACTGACAGCCCAGCCCCTCCCCCTTGGCTTGCTGGGATTGACCCCATCACTCCCCCCAGCCCGGCTCCAGGACCCCTCTGCCCAGGGCTGAGGCCACCACCCCACGTCCCAGGAGAGAATGTACCATGGGAGCCTGCCCAGGCCCAGGTGGTTCTGGAACGTGGGCAGAAATAGTCCAGACCACTGCCCTGCTCTGTGGATCTCTCTGGCATCTTTGTCTAAAGCAGGATGCGCTTTCTAGACGATGGCTCAAGTCATGTGCTCCTAGTGCTGTAGGCCACCAGCTTTGCCCCAGCTTTGCTGAGAAGGACCACACAGAGCTGAGGACCCAGAGAACAAGTTTCCAGCAGCCTACATGTAACAAAAATTCGACTAAGTAGGGGCGCCTGGGTGGCTCAGTCGGTTAAGCGTCTGCCTTCGGCTCAGGTCATGATCCCAGGGTCCTGGGATCGAGCCCCGCATCGGGCTCCCTGCTCCGCGGGAAGCCTGCTTCTCCCTCTCCTACTCCCTCTGCTTGTGTTCCCTCTCTCGCTGTGTCTGTCTCTGTCAAATAAATAAAATCTTTAAAAAAAAAAAAATTCGACTAAGTAAATTTGAAGATCTAACTGGCTTTATTAAACGACTCATGAGTCAGGCGGCATCTCATCCGGCAAATAGAAAGGAGTTCCAAGGAAGTGTACAAAAACGGAAGGTTTTTAAAGGCAGAGACGGAGAGGGAAAAAGGAAGTTATTGGCAAAGAATGCCTCGTCTTTGCCAATAGGGTCTCCCTTAGGGGAAACGGAAGGATGACCTCCCCTGCCCACCAGGGGTTTCCAGGTTGGCCATTTAAACGTCACATCCCAGGGGGGCCTGGGGTTTGAAACCGCAGGAGGCTAGCTAGGTATTAGGTCTTGGTTTGCCGATGTGGGGCCCTAAACGTAAGTGACTCCATTTTGGGCCAGCTGTCTCCTTTTTAGCACTGCTAAGTAGCTCAGTGAACTTAAAAGTCTGCTGAATCCCTCTAACTGTTCCCATCTTTAAGTGAAGATCTTACTAACCACAGTCTAGCTCGCAGGGAGCAGTGGTGGGAGGGTCACGGCCTCTGGGGTCACCATCCTCAAGCACAAATCCCAGCCCTGCCCGGCAAGTTTCTGACTCACTTTGAACTAAGTTTTCTTTTCTATTAAATAGAGCCAGTGCTCCCTTCCTTTCAGGGTCTGGTGAGAACAGTACCAGTACTGTCTTCAGGGAGGTTTTGAGAAGTAAAGTCTATTCATCTGTCCTCTGGCTCTAAGCAGGAGAAATTAGACAGCATCTGGCACCCTTCTCTGGAGGGAGTTAAGTGGCTTCCCAGGATCAAAAGTCTCTGAGTCCTGAACAAGTCCAGTCCCACTTTGGAAGTGGCCCCTCTGCCTGACACATCCCCCTAGCACCTACCTTGCTGGGTCTCAGTGAGCTCAGGATGCTGGGCATCAAACTGCCGGGGAGGGAGCTGGGAAGGCACACAGTATGGCCTCACTGGAAATGGAAGGAATGGAAGGCAGGAAACCAAAGGCTTTCAGACTTGCCTTTGTTTCCTAGGGCTGCCCTCTCGAAGTCCCGCAACCGGTGCTAAAACAACCGAAATGTATTGTCCCACCTCCTGGAGGCCAAAAAGTCTGAAATCAAGGTGTCCGCGGGCTGTGCTCCCTCCAGGGAGAGTCCTCCCTTGTTGCCTCCACTCGTGGTGGCTCCCAGAGTCCTTTGGCTTGTGGCCACATCACTCCCATCTCTGCCCGTCTTCATATGACCTTCTTCCTCCTTCCTTTCTGTGTCTTCCCCTCTTCTTCTAAGGACACCAGTCATTATATTTGCCCCCGCCACACCACCCCACTGCCCATCCAGGATGATCTCCTCTTGCGATCCTTAACTAATTACGAATTACTTAGCTGATCTCTGAAGACCCTGTTTCCAAATCAGGTGACATTGTGAGGCTCCAAGACAACATGAATTTTGGGGAGACTCTCTTCAGCCCACTCTAGGACCCTCTCACCCCCAACTTGGAGTGTAAGTTTGGTACAGTTCTGCAGCCCCTCCTGGTCTTGCCTGTTTTCTCATCTGTCACGGGGAAGATAATGGCATCTGTCCCGCCTCTGGTTGGTCAGGGCTCTAATGAGGTCATGAAGTGATATGATTTGAAAAGTTGGAAGGGTTTACATAGATAAAGTAATGAAATGGTCAATGTGCACTGATTCTCCCTGCATCCCCAGCCCAGCCCTGCCCTTACCCCCGTGACCCAAGCTGCACCCCCTCCTACAGGTGACTTCACTGCCTTGGGGGGCCACAGCCCCCCAGCTGCATGCACCTCAGTGCTGCCTGCAGACCCAGAGGCTTCCCCCAGACACCAGAGGAGAGACTTGCAGCCGGATTTCCTTTGGGGTATACAAGTCCAGGCTGATTTTCCCACGTGATCGAAGAGCTTCTAGTTCCTTTGTCCTTCTGCAGCCCAGGGCTCGGCCAGGCCAGGGAGTCACCAGTAACCCCCCAGCTCTCTGCAGAGACTCGCACCCCTGGCTGTCCAGAGCTGAGGGCTCCTTCTTCTCTGAGGCTGGGCATGTCTTCCCATACCTGCCCAGGCCACCCCAGCTGAGTGACCTGGGGCCTTCTCTCCCTGCTCCCCCAGACCCTGCTGCGAGATGGCAAGCGTGAGAGCATCGTGAGTACCCTCTTCATCTCCCCTGGCGATGTGGAGAATGGGCAGAGTATCGTGTGCCGAGCCACCAACAAAGCCATCCCGGGAGGGAAGGAGACTTCGGTCACCATCGACATCCAGCGTGAGTACTAACTTGGCCCCCGCCAGCCGGGCCAGGCCTGGGGCAGGAACCCCCCCACCTCCGGCGCTCCCTGCCTGAAGCACAGGTTGGGGGGAAGAGCCAGGCCTGGATAACCAGCTCACCAGAGCCAACACCACAGCCCTGCGAGGTGTCTGAAGACAGGAAAGGGTCAGACAGCTCCCTGGACTGGCCGAGGTTGTGTTTGTGGGCACCCAAAGGGCTTGTCCTTATTGTCACATGAAGTAACGACATCAGATGAGGATCTTTTGCCAATGACTTGTTCAAGCCACATTTCCAAACCTGTATCAGGTAGAATTTTCCACGTCAATAAATATAAAGCAGGGCCCTAGCTCTGCTTTAACCTGGTGGCCCCACATGCTCCCTTGGCGAGAAAACCAGAGCAGAGGTACTGGGGCCAGCAGGGTGCTCAGAGTTCCAGAGTGGGGGAGGAGTGCATGCCCTACAGAGCGTGGGTACCCAGGGGGGCCTGCTCATGGAAGGGTTCAAGGAGAGAAGAAGAGGAAGAAGAGTAGTCTTTTAGTCAGCCCGTACTTTCCAGGAATTATTTCATCTTCACAACCACCATTTGAGTAGGTATGCTGGTGGTCCCTATGTGGGGAAACTGAGGCACCCCTGGGTCGATCTGCTTGCCCAAGGCCACATAACTATCAAATGTAGACAGCCTGGCTTTCCGGAGCCTGCACCATAACCCCTCTTCTGCACTTGCGCACAGTAGGTCCTCGGCGTGTGTCAGTTCTCACGGTTAATGTCAACAGTCATGATGCGTTAAAGCTCCCCCAGCACCCTATTCCAAAAGTCACCTAAAAAGACTCCTATCGCTTTCCTAAAATCTCCCTACAGTGCCTGTCGGCCCCAGAGAACAAAAAAAAGTGCTCAAGAAGGTGGTCTGGCGGCCTCACTCCCAGTACCGGACTGGTTTGGGTCTGAAGGATCAGCACTCAGACATGGACTTTTTTTCCCGTAAATGCCCCTCCCTGCCAGGGAGCACGATGCCTCCATGTGCTGGGGACTGTTTTGGTGCAGCCTAGAGCTGAAGGCTGGCATTCATTTCCTTCATATTATTTTATTCATTCTAAATTAAATTCACTTAAAAACCCCTGCCCAACAGCCTGGCTCATCTAAGGCTTCTGGATTCTGTGCTTCACGTGGCTCTGTAGGGCTCTGGGGCTGTGTCCTGGCCTTTCCAGGGCCCATCTGCAGAGCCAGCGAGCAGAAGTCCCTAGTCTATCTAGAATCCTGGCAGCAGCCGCTGAGATTCCAGAAGGCAACAGAAACCGTTGTAACCCTGAGACAGGCTTGCTCCAAACACCCAGACACAGCAAGCCGAGTTCTTGGAGAAGGCTTTATCTTTCCCATCTTCACTACTCCCTCACCCCCACCAACTGGAGGCCTCTTCTTCTGTTCCTCATTTAATTAGAGTCAAGAAGAGCGGGGCTCTTGCCAGACCTGGGACCAGGGTGATGGGAGGGAGACGCTCACTCGGACGGGCCTCCCTGCCTGGCTGTCCGTACCCACCTACTTCTTCCAAGGAGCAGCCGTAGGCCCAGCTCTGGAGAGGAAGCAGGATGCTCTGGGGATCAAGTGGCCCAGCATCCAAAAAAGCTCCGCCACCCATGGGCTGTGCGGGCCGAAGCTTGTCACTACTCCGGAGATGGCAGTCCCTTGTCCTTTGACCGCATGATGTCCAGAGTTTCTTCTTGCCCTTAAGATTGACCGTGATCAGAGCTCTTTCCAAACACAAGCCAAATCTGGGACGAAATGGGGGGGTGGGGAGGGACACAAGAGATCCAAGCCTCCCGCTGCCAGGCTGCTGGTTGTAGCCCCCACCAATCCCCAATCTGGTCAGGAGGCCAACACCAGCTACCTACAGAATCCCGCACACAAGGAGCCAGCCGGCAGGGGGACACCCAGCAGCAGCCCCGCTCCCCTCCAGGCCATTATCCATCACGCCTGGAGAAGCTCTCCTGTCAACAAGAAAGCCATCATCCTAACAGCCCGCCAAGTATTAAAAGGCGCTCCTCTAATGTACTCTAATGAGATGATCCATTCACCAGGGCACACAGTGGAGAGTCTGCATCAGAGGGGGACACCAGGCTTGCCAGGTCTCTGTGCCCTGGCCGGCTCTCTTTCCAAGGACGCCTCCGCCACACGAGGTGGGAGGCGTCGGGCATTAGGTCCCAGAGAGGCTGAGGACCCAGGTGCCCGATTCCTAGGTCAGCCCCATCTGAGGCAGGACAGGGACGTGGTTAAGACCACAGCATTCCTCCTGGTTTAAATTCCGGCTCTGCCACTTACTGAATGATGCCGGCCCGGTTCTTTAACTGCTATGCCTCAGTTCCCCCATCTGTGCAAATGACAATGCTGACTTCATATGGTGGCTGTGAGGGGGACGTTTCCAGCACAGTGCTCGGCACAGGGTGAGCGTGCTGCACCTGTTTGCTGTCCTCACCATGCGCAGGGCCCCTCTCAGCCCAAACAGGGGAGAGCTCTCCAGCCCCTTGTCCTCTCTCTTGAAGGTGTTTGCATGTGCCCGCCAAGCAAAAAAGCACACGCTCTCTCCACCACCTTCCCCCTGCCTCCTTCCTCCTCCATTTGTCCATTTGTTCATTCAATAAGCATCCAACTGTTTACTGTGGACACCATGGGCCGGATCAGAGCTGCCTTTACAAACCTGCTCCATTTTCTCAGTCAACCAAGAAGCATCCAAACTCAGCAAAAGCGCATTTGTTGTTTGTTTCCCTTGGTCTTTATATGTTACCCAACGGAAGACAAAGCCCCCAGATTGAGTAATGGGAGAGAAAGCTTAACACCCCCAAAGTCTTGCTACATCTGGACGCTGCATCCAGCTGCCAAGTTTCAAATGAATGTGCTATAAAATCACTGAGTCATGGAGTTTCTCTCTTTTCCACCCCCTCCTCGATGTAATACTTCCCCTGAACACACACACACACACACACGCGCACACACGCGCACGCAGGTTGCTGATGGAAACACTAACAGACTCTCAGCTGTAACATCTGTTCAATATGATCTCAGTTCTACCAACTACATCAAAGCTGCCCTCCTGCAAAGCTATGCAGTCGACATCACAAGTGGGATTAAAATCATGTCTAATAGTTGGGTATGACATAAACTATTCATACCTGTGGAGCCTGGTAGACTCCTGAAAATTCATATCCTGCACATCCAGAGGAGAGGGGTGGACAGAGGGACCCGGGCACCTTGGGGTCCAGGGTGGAGGTGCAGATGAGACTGGCAAGTGCACAAGCCTCCTAGAGACCCGCTCTGTTGGGGCCCGTGAAGAAAGGTGGGGTACCAAGGATTTGGCCAAGGTAAGGAAGCTGCAGGAGAGAGGCACACACAGGATCCACTCAGAACGGCGGGAGCAGGAAGGGTCCCCCAACAGGTATATACCCCATCGCCCTGCTCCCCAAGAATCCTCACTCTATAAAGGACACCCAGGTGGGGAGGGGCCTCCTGGAGGTCTCCCCAAGTTCTGTGGCAGGTAGATTCTAGATTCTATCCAACTGGAGCCATCACTTCCTCAAACAAGAGTTGGGTTGAGGGACTCTACTCCGCCTCTCAGTACTGAATTTTACAATGTGAGGCCATGAGCCAGCCATGCATTTGGCTCCAGATGGCAATCACCAAATTCCTCTAGCCTCACATGAGCCTCTCCAACATGCAGCAAGATGCACGCTCCTCCCTGGGTCTCCACATCTCTGGGGGTGGTGCCATCGGAGCGCTAGGGGCCCTTGGATGCCCAGCTGAGCTGGCTGGTCCTGCAGAGAAAGAAGACTGGGACTCCTGACAGTACTGGCCCTGGAAGCTGGTGGTCCTCAGCTGGGATGGGGGGGGGGCGGCGGGGGGCAGTTGATGGGCAGCAGCTGGGGAGAAGCTACAGGGTTCTGGGGTCGTGGCTCTCCTGGAAGGTGGGAGGAGAGCTCTCATGGCTGGTCCTTGCCACACTCCTTACTACTTGAATTACGTTTTAAAAACAAAGATAGAGGGCGCCTGGGTGGCTCAGTTGGTTGAGCAGCTGCCTTCAGCTCAGGTCATGATCCTGGAGTCCCGCGATCGAGTCCCACACCGGGCTCCCTGCCCAGCAGGGAGTCTGCTTCTCCCTCTGACCCTCTTCCCTCTCGTGCTCTCTATCTCTCATTCTCTCTCTCTCAAATAAATAAATAAATCTTTAAAAAATAAAAAATAAAAAATAAAAACAAAGATAGAGAGCATTGAGATACCCGTCACTTCCCTTGTAATTCTCCATGAAATTCTCCACTGCTGCCGTAACAGATGCTCCCAGGATGGTGGTCCGAATCCAGAACTGGGGGCTCACATGGGGAGATCAGGGTCCCCAGAATAGTCAGCCACACTGCTCAGGAACCAGAGTTCTCTCCCCCATGTCTTTCAAGCTGTCTGCAGATATGGGTGCAGCCCTGTGGGCCACCTCCCTGGCCCCAGCCCCTGGGCCCTGGCACTGTGCAGGGAGGCATGACCCAGCTTGAGCACCAGCAGGACAAAGAGGGGCTGAGTGGTCCAATGATCCCAACACCGGGGTGGGCTGGCCTCAGTTCACAGCCAGGGGGCTGTGCGTAGGACTCTGAGGGTCTCAGAAGCCCACCTGTGGTCTCAAACAGAGGCTCAGGCCGGGCGGGTTGGAATCCTGTTCCCCTCGTGGTGCCCTTCGCAGGCGCCCAAGAGGGGTCAGCATTTTTCTCCATGGTGTCTGAGAAACGGCTTCTTCTTTTGCTGAAAATGGGCTGGACAGAACCCCTAGAAAATCCATATGCCCTTCCGGCAGTTTGCCATGATCTCAGGTGAGGACTGGCCCGAAGATGCAGCCCAGGACCCTGGCCGGGTGGTGGGGACCACGCTGCCCTCCTCACTCAGCCCGGGGTTGAACCCCAGCCAGCCCTGTCCACCATGACTAGGACGAAGAACAGGTGCTGGTCTTGGTTTCCACCTTCCTATCTCTCCACGTCTCTCTCCCTGTCTCTCTTCTCTAGTCCTCCATACAGTGGGGTCTCTCTCCCCAACATCCTGTCATGTTCTGTCTCTGTCTGCTTGGTCTCCTCCGGTCTTTTTGCTTTTAGTCTGAAATCTCTGTCTGATTATATGTTTCTGTGTATATGTCCATCTCTCTCTGTGTCTCCTTCCATCTCTCTGCTTCTCTCTTTTTCTTGTTCTTCCTCTGCATTTCTCAATCTCTGTCTCTATCTCTGTCTCCCTCCCTATCCCTCTTCCATGTAGGTGCCCTCTGCCTGCCTCCCAACCCTCCTCTGTCTGTTTCCTGTTCATCTCTCCTTCCCCCTCCATCTCTCCCTCCCCCCCTCCTTTCCCTCCCCACTTCCCTCTCTGCCTCTCTCTCCCTCCCTCTCTTCCTGTCTCCTCCACCTCCTACCCTTTAGCACTTCAGAGCCTGGCTTCTCATCATATTGCAGGAGAGAAGACTCGCCCAGCCTGGAGAGCCGAGGGCTGGGTGACACCAGTCAGGGCCCAGCAGAGACGGTCAGGCTGATGAAAGCGTGTAAATGCCGCTTTCAAGTTAACAGATGCACCAGAGCCTTTATGCAAACAGATATGAAACAGACATTTCAAAGACCAAAAAACTGTGTATTTAAATGGGGCTTAGTGTCCACTTTCCCCCTTGTGCCCCCCGCACCCCCTTTTCCCAACTCTCTTTTCTGAAGCGCTTTGTTCTGCCTAAAGGCTGGAAGATGGGCAGCATGCATCTGGGGGCTCAGGAAGCCGTGCCTCCTGGCTGGCTGTTCATTTAAACACCAGACCTTGAATCCACAGGGGGAGCCCTGACCCCACTACCAGGCCAGCAGAAGCAGGCACCCCCAGGGAGTAAGGGAGTCCCCTGCTGAGGCCCCCAACTTTCTGGGGACCATCAGGGTGGTGGCTGCACGAAGGGTCCCTGCTGGTAGAATCTCTGGCCTTTATCCTCCATGTCACCCAGGGGATCTTCTTGCCCCAAAACCATGGACACAGCTCCCCTGTTTGCAAAGGAATCTCTTTTCTCTGCAGACCCCCCGCTTGTCAACCTGTCGGTGGAACCACAGCCGGTGCTGGAGGACAACGTTGTCACGTTCCACTGTTCTGCAAAGGCCAACCCAGCTGTCACCCAGTACAGGTGAGAATCCCGCTGACAAGGCACAGCCTGGCCCCTGGACCCCTGCACACCCCTGCCCATCACACGGGGTGTCGTTTGTGGTCCAGGGTGCGCAGCACACGGGCTGGTTCACTGTGGGAGCCCAGGATCCTTCTCCCTTCCCCACACACCCATCCATCCCTGGTCAGGTAGACTTTCCCTTTCCTTCACGTACACGCACACTCCCCTTCCACGGGATGCAGTGGGTATAACCCCTTGTGCTTGGAGAGCTTGGTTATCCCTTCTCTCTGAAAAGAGGCAGAGAGGCTCAGAAAAAAAGAAAAGAAGAATAAAAGGTAAAACAACCCGGAGAAGCAGTAAGATCAGAACCTAGATTCTAGCCATTTGCTCACCGAACTGTTCACCTGTGTAGGGTACGATTTCTGGGACAGAAGGCCCTGTCCAGCAAGTGCCTCGGATCATGTCCACCCACGGCCCCTGTGCATCCCTTGCTCACAACACTGATAAAAGCACTGTGTTTTACATGCTCGTCTTTCCCTGTCGATGGAGCTTCTTGAAGGCAAGAACTGCAGTTTAGCCACTTACGGTACTCGGCTTGAAGCACGGCGCGGGGCATGCAGCAGGTGCTTTATAATGCGGGCTGGTTCCCCTGGGCACCTTCCCGCCTGGGCACCGCCGCATGAGATTTCAAGAGACACAGTGCCCTCGGAGATGCTCAAGGGCAGACTCGGACATTCACCTCCTTTAGACACCCTGGGGAACTCAACATGGCCCTAACTCGGTCCCGTCCTTTCCCTACCAGCCCAGACTTGATGGTGGAGCCCAGAGCATCACCTCTGCCGTCGAGATGGGTTATGAAGCCGCAGCATCAGCCAGTGCCAGGGATGCTAATGGCCCCAGACTAGATAATCGGCCGGCCAGTGGGAGTGGAGGACAGGGATGACAAGAGGCAGCACAGACCAGAGTGCTCAATGAGAGGAAATGGGCCAAAGAGGCAGCCAGAGAGAGATTCAGGTTGGACGCAAGGAGGAGCTGCCCGCAGTGCAGATAATTGAACGACACGGGGACACTGGAACCAAAACCCAGGAAAGGCGTGGAGTCTTTATCCTTGAGGATATTTTAAAATAGGATGCAAACCCATCTGTCCTGTCCGGTGTGACGGTTCCCTGGGCTGGAGGCAGGGGAAAGTTCGCTTCAGGCGCACGGCCGTGTGGGTCCAGGGGGGGCGGGTGTGGTTTGGCTGGGATCTGGCATCTGTCTGGAAGTGACTAAAGATGCAAAACAGACACCCAGAGAGAGTCCCTTTCTCTGGGCTTCCTCTGTGCACCTGCGGGCCTGCGCTCCCCTCCACAGGGTCGGCTCCTCTCTGCTGCCGCTCCAGGGGTCTGCTTACAATCCCTAAACGCCAAGCCCCACGTGCCCAGAGAGACCTCGAATACCTGTTTCTCTGGGCAGCCCCGGACTCCCACAGGCGCCCAAGCAGACGCATCCCACGGTCACCCTCACAGCCATCCCGGGAAAGCCTGTAGGACCCTGGAGACCAGAACGCACAACTTCCACGTCTCTTCACCGCCAGGCTCTAGGTCATCTGAGGACCCCGTTATGGGAGGGCTGGGCAACAGGCAGGGCCATGCTCCAGGACCCAGCAATGTCCCCCAACCCTCCCCTGCCTTCTGACCAGGATGGGGTGAGCAAACGCCCCAGAAGCCAGGCAGCGGGGCTTCGTCTTTGGGGCACCCCCCTCTAGAAGCAGAACACCAGTGATGATGATGATGATGAAGTTCATATCTCCTTCTGGAGAGATCATCATAAAGAAATATGACAATAGGGACACCTGGCTGGCTCAGTCAATGAAGCATCTGCCTTTGGCTCAGGTCATGATCTCAGAGTCCTGGGATCAAGTCCCACATCAGGCTCCCTGCTCAGCGGGGAGCCTGCTTCTCCCTCTGCCCCTCCCCCTGGCTCTGCTCTCTCACTCACTCATTCTCTCTCTTTCTCTCAAATAAATAAATAAAATCTTAAAAAAAAAAAAAAGAAATGTGACAATACGTTAAGAACTAGTGAATCTAGGTGAAGGGAATATGGCAGTTAATTGGCCTATTCTTGCCATGTTTCTATAATTTCAAAGTGGTTTTTTTTTAAACTAAAAAGTTATTAAACAAACAAGCCCAGAGCATGCAAGTCTCCCTCTGCCTCCACCCTCCCCTGCAGCCGCCCAGGGTCCTGGGTCAGCCCCTGCTTACAGAGGCGCAGCCGTGGGTGCGGGAAGGGGCAGGCCTCCCCACAGATGCTCACGCTTGTGGCGAGTCACCTCCCCCACGGCCCTCTGATTAGCCAAAAGCCCTGAAACACTTCAGTGTGGACCACACTCCCTTCCGGACTCCAGAGACTTTTTGGGGCAGCCCTTCGGGCAACTAGGAAATTTTAGGAGAAAAGAGAGTGGAGGGGCGAGAGGAGAGAAAGGAGGGCGCCCCCGCCGCGCCCACCCACACGGCCCAGCCCCTCGAGGGAGGGCTCAGTCAGCAGGCAGATGGTGGTTCTAGATGGTGTGTTGGGCTCCAAGAGGAAAAGCCTTAAGCAAATCTCCTCACATAAGGACATTGATTTTTCCCAACTGACTTTGACAAGATTGCAGGGATCTGTGTTTCTTCACTTCCATATTCATCTTGGTTGCTTCCTCCCGTGCCCCTCCGAGGCTCTGATCTCAGAAATTAGAACTATGCTTCCTCCACCCCAGCACCCAGGAAGGGGACATGGGTGGGCGTGGGAGCAGGTGCGGCGGACCGGGCAGTCACTTCAGCTGCCCCCTAGGACCAGGGGCCGGAAACGGGCAGGCCAGGTCCCAGCACACCAGGGAGAGCATCTCCCCACCTGCTGAGGCTCTCCTGCGCCCCCCACCCCACCCCCCCCCACAGGTCCCAGGGCCGGGGCCACAGCCCTGTGTGAAACTCGGGGCTATTTAAGGACAGCCCGGCAGCTGTGACAGCCAGGCCTCCTGATTCTGTGATATAAATAATTAATCCTCTTACGTTTGCTCTGGCCAAATTAGACATTGATTGGGAAGAGCTTAATCTGACTCCTTTTCAGAGGGGCTGGGGGCGGTGGGGTGGGACCCACAGTGGAGGCAGGGCTGGGGGGAAGGGGCAGTGTGCAGGGTCCAACTGGAAGGAGGAGGAGGTGAAACCTAAGCCAAAGAAGAGAGAGGAGAGGAAAGGGCTGAGAGAGGTGGCCTTGCTCGCGCATCACCCTGGACCCTGTGGCCAGTCGCTTGAAGGGGTGGTTTGAGCTTCTGGAAGGGACCCCTACAGAGGGCTTATTGGTGTGGGAGAGGAACATAAAGAAAGGGAGGGAAAAGGCTGACTGAGTGAGATATGAGCAGGGGACTCTTGGGACATCCCCAGAAAGCCTTGGTTTGCCATACCAGAGGGCCCAGCCCCCACAGCCTGCTCCTGCCTGTGACCCTGGGAGAGGACAGCCTAGGAATTCCTCCCGTGCCCTGTTCCGCCTCTAAGGAAGGAACAGGCCCTGGGGGGCTAAGGGCAGCCACTGCACAGGGGGCCAGGCTGGGACAGCACAGCCCTGCTGGGCTCCGGGCCTGTGCGAGCCCCAGCACTTCTCCTGAGCTCCTCGGGGCTGAGCAGGTGAAGCTTGCACCCTCAGGGACTTACATGAGGGCCCCAGAGAGGAGGAGAAAGCCCCATCTTCTCCAGGAACTCCTCCAATGACAGAAGGGGACAGCCCTTCAGAACCAGCCCGCAGGGGCCCTAACCTACCTACCCCGAGGCAGGAGCAGGCCTGGGGGAGCAGGAGGGGCTCACCCCACCCTCCTCCCGGTCCCACCTGCTGCAGCCCCCCTCAGCCCCCCTCCGCCTGACCCCACGCTTCATTCAGCTGGAGGTTGGACGCAGATCCCCAGCCGTGTGCCTGGCACTGAATTCCTCTGCCTCAGGCAGGGGCTGTGCCTGGCTGTTAAGTCTGGTCATTAAATTAAAGTTAGAAATGGAAGTGATTCATGAATAACTCATAATGGTTTGTTGGGAAGCTCCTTAAGCTCTCAGGGAGCTATGGTTTGCTCTGTTGTTAAACTATAATTGTTATTATTAATCATGTTCTTAATAATTATGTGATATTGACTTACGATAATAACCACATGGTGCCAACCTGGGTGCTCCACGTGATGCCAAGGCACGGCCATCTCCCGGGGCTGGACGGGCCTCAGTGTGAAGCTGAGGGAGGGAAGGCAGGAGACGGTCCCCTCGGTACCATCAATGGCTCCAGGACCGAGAGAAAGGGGAGGTGAAGGCGGGGGCCGCAGGGAAGCTGTGGTTACCGGGACTCATGGTCATGGTCATGGGGTCACAATAAGACAAACACCCCAAAATAGGCTTGGAATAGGAGGAGCCCGGTTGGAAGTTTTGTGAAAAGTTAAGTGTTGTCCACAGTGGGGTTAAAGCAGAGGACACTGTGAACTCTCTCCCTGGGGGTCTGTAGGGAAAGGCCCCCCCCCAACACGCGCGCACACACATGCACACATGCGTGCCCCTGGGAGCTCCCAGCACTGCCTCACAGACAGCAGGTTCCCCGCTCCGGCACTGGTCCAAGGCAGTGATCACCGCCCCTGGGCCAGGACCGAGGCAACCCCTGCGCTTTTCAGTCTCTCGATTCTGGTGGTACTGATTGGCGATTGGTGGGTGAAAGACATCAGCACAGCCGTCTTCCCGCCCCTCTGACCAAACCAGGACTGATGGAGCCGAAGCCTCTGAGGAGTGAAAACAGGGTGGGAGGCTAGAAGCTGGGCAGGAGAAAGGGCAAGTGCCATCCCTGGGAGGGACAAGGGTCACGGTGAAGGGACCCACCTGGGGACAGGCGTCAGGACAGGAGAGCAGAGAGAGCTGGAGGAAGGGCCCTCGGGACCCCTGGCTAATACCCCTCCCACAACTTCCCACCTTGTCTGGAAATCAAGTCTGTGTGTGTGCACGCGTGTGCACGTGTGTGGGCGCAGATGCGCACGCGTGTATGGGCACGTGCCACTAGACCTTGGCCTCCTTCTTTCCCACTGGGGATCCCAACAGACAGGGCCCTCAGTAGCGCTCAGAGCAGGATGGCCAGGCTATCTAGGGACTGACAGTGGTTTATTCATTTCCTAGCCAGTCAGATGGGCCAATCTATTGAATAGTCCACCCACCTCTCTCCAGAATAACCTGCTTGTCACCTGCGAAGCAAAGCCTGCTGCCTCCAACACCGACTCCTCCCCTGGCCCTGGAAGTTTCCCCTCTGCGGAGATTCCTGCCGGCCCCCCTCCCCACCTGGCACTGAAGGATCTCTGGTGGGAGGGGGGCCTAGCCCTGTGCCACCCCATGCCACACCCCGCTTTCTAGCTTCTACAGAGACGCACCCCCTGGGTGGGAGGAACACTCTTGCCATTGGAGGAGGAGGAGGTCCACAGCGGCACGTGGGGCCTGTGTTGCAGGTGGGCCAAGCGGGGCCAGATCATTAAGGAAGCATCTGGAGAAGTGTATCGGACCTCAGTGGACTACACGTACTTCTCAGAGCCTGTCTCCTGCGAGGTGACCAACGCCCTGGGCAGCACCAACATCAGCCGCACGGTGGACGTCTACTGTGAGTATCCCCAGGCGAGCTGGCCCTGGAGCATCACTGTTCAGGGGCTCAGGAACCTTGCTGGGCTCTCTGCACACCATAGAACCAAGCCTCACGAACTCACAGTGCCGCCCACTTTAAGAAAAGCTGCTTGGTGTGGTATTTCCGGCTTCCCTTGACCCTTATAGTAATCCAGGGAGGCAGGAATTATTATTCCCATTACTCAGATGAGGGGATGGAGGCCCAAGGTCACTCAGCAAGTAAGTCGCAGAAGGAGAACTGAGGCCAGGCTGAAGCAAATCCACTGCTGACCACAGGCCCCACTGCTTCCCATTAGGGACCCGAGTACACCTCCCTTTGGTGGCCTGGCAGGGACCCCCTTGGGGTGAGCGAGCCCATCACTGACCGATGGGTTGGATGTGTTCACAGCAATAAGCATTAGCTCATCTACTGTGCTTTACAGTTTGAAAAGCACTTTTGCAAGCTTTCTTACATCTGACCCCTCCCCTCACCCCCAGCGGCCTCAACAGAAAGTGCCACTACTCCCTGTTCAAGGGACTAATCCCGGTCTCCTGACCCTGGTTTTCACATTCTTCTGCTCCTGGAAAGCAGCTAAGCAGTGCTCTGCATACCCTCCCGTCACCGTGCCTGAAATCCCACCATGACACCCACTCTGGGGACCAAGGCTTGGTCTGCAGGAGGCTCTCTGGTGTGCAGCGGGGAGACGGACAGGAGCCTCCATTCATGCTCACCAACACTTAGCAGGGGCCTGGGACCAGGCCCAGCTACTTCATCGGGGTTGGAGAAAGGCTGGGAGGGGCTGGAACGGAGCATAACCTGCGGGCTTGGAGCAAGTGGAAAACTCGGGGAAAGGCATGGCTTCCTGGAGGGGGTGGAGAACACGGGGAGAGGCATGCTTCCTCCACGCCTTGTCTCAGAGCCCCTGGAGGACCCTGGGAGGGCTCCAGGAGCTGGGCCAGGTGCACAGGGTAACTGGACTCTAGGTCCCTCACCTGAAGCCTGGGCAAGGACCTGAAGGCAGACACAGAAAAATCCCAGGATTTCTGGGGCAGGAGGAAGTCCCCTCTGCCTGCAGATTGGGGAGGGGGCTTCCTGGAACCAGGACAAAGGGCAGGAGATGGGGGCAAATCCCAGTAGAAATGGGGCCAGAGCACTTTTTCCTAGGGCTGTTGCTGCCAGTGAGTGGGCCTGAGGGAGGCCAGGCTGGGGGACTGGGATCTCTTGCTTACTTCCCGGGTCCTTCAGACCCTGCTCCCGGAGCTCCCAGCCCACCAAGAGCCCTGTCTCCCCCTTCTTCCTCTCACAGTTGGGCCCCGCATGACCACAGAGCCCCAATCCCTGCTCGTGGATCTGGGCTCCGATGCAGTCTTCAGCTGTGCCTGGACAGGCAACCCCTCCCTGACCATCGTCTGGATGAAACGGGGCTCAGGCGTGGTAAGTCCTCAGCTCACACCCCACAGGGGCCTCGGACCACCTGAACTGCCTTCTGGGCCCCTCTCACCCTTTGGCTAAGGGCATCAGCCTCCAGTGTAAGCTGAAGGGAGAAGGACCCCAGAAAGAAGAGAGTGAACCCCAGATACCCACATGTACCCCCTCAGTCCTAAACACACTCAACCACTGCAGTTTTGCCCTATCACTAAACCTTAGAAGAAAAGCAGGTACCTGGTCACCAATGTGCTGGGAGTAAAAAGTCTCTAGACAGCCTTTTCCACTTTCCCTGAATAGTTAAGTGATCCATTAGCTTTTGAGTTAAGTTTCACAGTCTTCCTGTGTTCCTCTTTTATTTATTTTTTTTAAAAGATTTTATTTATTTATTTGAGAGAGAGAATGAGATAGAGAGAACATGAGAGGGGGCAGGGTCCAAGGGAGAAGCAGACTCACTGCCGAGCAGGGAGCCCGATGCGGGACTCGATCCCGGGACTCCAGGATCAGGACCTGAGCCGAAGGCAGTCGCCCAACCAACTGAGCCACCCAGGCGCCCCCTGTGTTCCTCTTTTAAAATAAATGTTTTTTCGGTTGTATAAGTTTATCAGAAACCCCTCCCCTCAGGACGACCAGCGAGAGCCTTGGGAGGGAAGTCAAGGGTGAGGCAGACAGAAACTGGCCTCCGTGTGGCCTACTGTGGGCCAGACACCGCTCCATCCTGTGAGCAGGGCTGCCCTGTTGTAGCAATAAGAGCATCAGGGCAGATAAGAAACTGCCCCAGGCCACGCAGGTAGTCACCACCCAAGTCAGGATTTGAACTCAGGGTTAGCTAAGGCCAAAGTCTTTGGATCACCCCCAAACTCTATCCCAAAAGGATATTGAAAATGACTCCAAAAAGACAGGTCCAGGCACCTGCAAACAAGATCCTCAGGGCCAGCCGGGTACAAGTTGGTGGGCAGCCTGCCTGTGTTTGAGAAAGCCTCTGGGCCCCAGCCAGGGAGTACCCCCCACCCTCCCGCCGCTCCTTGCACACTACCCCCTCCCAGCTGGTGTGCAGCTGTGGATCTCCCCTGGACAGCTCACGGGGCATACTGTCTCCCACCCCACCCCTGCGCCTCACTGCCACGCTGAAGACTGGTCACTTACGGCAGGCCCACCTCGCAGCCCTTCTGGTTCTGGGAGACAGAGGGAGCCCGGCTCTGCTCTCCGTGTCTGATCCTCCACAATCCTCCCAGGTGCTGAGCAATGAAAAGACCCTGACCCTCAAAACCGTCCGCCAGGAGGATGCTGGGAAGTATGTGTGCCGAGCCGTGGTGCCCCGGGTGGGAGCCGGGGAGCGAGAGGTGACCCTGACAGTCAATGGTAAGACCCCCCCCCCGACTCATGCTAAGAGGATAGGAGGGGGCAGAGAGGGGCCCAAGGCGTCTTCGTCCCAGGCATTGCCTCAGAGGGCCTGTCGTTGGTTCTGGGCCTTGCTTCCACCCCCACCCTGGCTCCATAGCAGTTCTGTCCACCTCTTCGAGTCCATGTCAAAGCCCAGGCCTGAGGTGAGGAAGGACCTGGCTAGTTGCATCACCTTCCTCCTAAGGGGTCCCAGCCTTAGGGGTGGTAGCTGATGAATTTTATCCTGGCCAAGAGGAAAGGGTCAGAGGATCACTAGGCAGCCAACTTAGATCCCGTATCTACCCTCTGACCTGGACCTTGACCTTGGCCCGAGAGGGAATGTAAGGGAGCGTCTCTGCAACTCCTGGTTGGCCCCTTCCCGTTGCATGCTGGCTGCTCAGTCGGAGAGACCCATCGCAATTTCCACAAGACCAAGCATTCAGGGGGTCCTCTTGAGGGCAGAGTCTTATCACTTACCATAAAACCATTATAGCAGGAGAGGGTTTTCAGATGTCCCCAGAACACAGATGACTTAGGAGACAGAGTGTTAGACCAGCATGAATGATGGCATATAGAAGGTTACAGAGAAGCTGGGTCAGACCCAGGAAGGCTGTAGCACCACGATGGAAATCTGACGTCCCTGCCATGGTGCGTGCTCAGGCAGGGGGCGGGGCAACCAAAGCTGCTGGCTGGAGAGAGGCAGAAAAGCGAAGGCCAAGCCCCTCTGGGTTTCCAAACTTCCTCAGTCCACTGGGTTTTTGGTTTCCCTTTGCGAGCCCCCTGGTCCCACAGAGTCTGCCTCTGGTCAAAGCCCTGAGGCTCTGAGCTGCAGTGGGATCCAAGCCCCAGACCCATCTTTGCAGGGCCTCTGGGTCCTGGCCCCAGATCAAGGCCCTAAGGAGGGGCTGAGTCATGTTCTGGAAATCTGCCGTCCTGGCTTCACCTCCACCCAGGAAGCTGCCCACAGGAAGCCTCATCTCTTCTCCCCCTTTGCTAGAAAACTAAAACCAGCTTGGTGCTTCCTCAGCCATCCCCCTCCGGCTTCCCCATTAGCCAGCCCCCCTCCACTGATTTCTTTTCCTCTCCTCCTCCCCCAGAGTCCTGGCAGCCCCAGAGGGAGGGTGAATCTACTCAGACCCCGGGTGCACTCACAGGCCACCTGTCCTGGGCAGAACCCTGACGCAGGAGTCTTCCTGCCTTCCCCCTGGGTCCCCAGGACGCCACCAATAAATTGGCACTGCAGGGCTAAAAATAACAGCATCTGATCGTGCCTCCATATATCCATGGCAACGCAGACTGCAGCCTTTTTCTGCTGCTCCGTGTCTGACACTGGGCTCAGGCACCAGGGCCCATGAAGGCAGTGGCCTCCCCCGCTGCCCGCCCTGGGTGCTGGCCCATGACTGTGGCCAGCTCCCGTCTGCTGGCCCCACGACCAGCCCAGCAGGGCTGGGGACCCTCCAGGGTCCCCAAGCCTGAAGCTTTTAAAGGAACATCCCCATTTCTGGGTAAAACCAGGCGGATAAATGAGGGACTGACATTCCATTGTCACTTTAGATATCCAGGCATTTCCCAGCAGGGATTCAAAGTGGTTTCTTGGGGAGGGAACGTACACCTCGCACACCTCGGGAGGACATTTCTCTTGGAAGGGACACCCCAGCCTGGGCCCTGGCGGCTACACAGGGTTTGATCTGCACCCCCCCAGGGATCGTGTGTCTATCCCCCTCCTCTGCCTCCAATACTGGCACAGGCTCCCCTAGATCGTCAGGAAGAGAACCGCCCAAGGGATTGGAGTGAAGCAAGGAGGCTGTTTGTTTCTGTTGAATGGGGTCATCCAGCCCTGATGCCGGGGGATGGCTTAAGTGGCCCGGGGTCGGGGCGGCGGGGGTGGGGGGAGCCAACGTTGGAGAGGAATGAGGTGGAGGGATGGTGAAGCCCTTTGGAAAGGGGCCTGGGCTGGGCTGAAGGAACCAGACATTATGAAAGGATCCAAAATGAGATGGGGTGCTCCTCACAACACACCCCACCTGGTGGGCGACCGCTGCCCACTGCCTTTTGGGGAGTAAATTGGCACAGGTCTTGCCTGGTTTGGTTCAAACCCGGGATCTGCAGGGAGGGGGAGATTAACCATACTACCACTGTGCTTTGACTGCCCAACCCCATCTTTATTCTGATTTCTTTTTTTCTTCTAAGAAGCCCTTAAACACTTACCCATTTGCCTAATGGCTTTTAGAATGCCTGAAAACCCCCCAGAGAATTCGCAGTCCCTGGGAAGTGAAGGGGAAATGGTTTTATGGTATCCTCACTTCCAGCCAGCAGCAAAACAAAGTGCCATCCAAGTTCCTAAAACATCAAGCCCTCCTGCCTTTTGGTCAAAGCCTTCTTGGAGCAAAAACATGTAAGAGAGACACTACACTCGGCTCAGCCCATGCTCAGAGCCACCTCGGGGTGGAATCCCTTACCTGAAGGGTCCCCCACGTCTGCCGCATCCAGCTCCAAGCTGTTAGCCATCCCAAACTCAATAGCAGTCACCTGAGTGTCTCCCAGTACCCAACCCCCCTTGGCTGAGAGCTACTCATAGAAATGCAAATCTGTTTTAATTAAGGAGGCTAATAAACAGCAATTATGTTTGCAGCAATTTCTGTTTTGTTCCCAGCATAATTTTGCCTGTCCTCCAGATCCCTTGCTCTAGCTCTTTCTCCTCCATTTTCGGCCACCTAAGACCCAACCTTTTCCCTCAGGATTGGGAAGGGGACGTGAGGGTCTCCATCCCTACGCCGCTTGCTTGCTTCAGCCGCCCCAGCCGCAGACAGGAAGTCAGCTGAGCAAACAGCTGAATTCGCCTCTCCTCCCAACCCCTTTCCATGCCAGGTGGGCATTGTGAGGGAAGGATTTGGGTGAGATAAAAGGCAGAACTAGACAGGCGGCACACTCTTAGACTGCAGGTGGACTCTCTAGGCTGTGGGAGGAGGTAGATAAGACAGGGACTCCGAGAGACATCCATAAACATTTCTCCCCCTCTTACACACACACACACAGACACACACACACACGCACGCACACTCTGGATGGGATCGTGTCCTGATCAGCTTTGGAGCCATGGTCTCACCTGGGCCATCTGGGTGCGTATGTGGAGGCAGGCAAGGCCAGGAACTACGGGACCTCCAAGATATACGTGAGATGAAGGTTGTGAACCCTCCCAGCGCATTCCCCCTAAGCAAGGTGATTCCCCCCTCCCCCGCCCTCCCCGCCAGAGGAACTCGAGCATTTCCTTCTCTTCCTCCGGCTTTGCCCGGCCCAGCGAGGGCACCCAGTTTGTTAGGCAAGCGCGCCCTCTCCTGGACATGGGGGAGAATGGCTCGAGTGGAACAGTCCACTAAAGCAGAGGTGGTATTAGTTAGAGATGTAACATTACTTAGTATCCCTTCCTCCCCGACACTTTCCCTACTCCCTTCTGAGGTTTCCCACCTCCTTCGTAAAGCTTTCCCCACCCGCCAGGCAGAATTAGCCCCTCTCCTCTGAAGTCCGTTGGCACTTCATGTGTACCGCTCCGTGGTACGAACACTCACCACCTTTTATGACGGTTATTTATGTCTTCTGGGCATTCTGACTTAGAAGCGTTCGCTCGTCATCCCTTGAGAGGATTATGACTGAACGCTTAATTTATCTTTGAGTCCCCTGCCTTGCACTTTACCTTGCACATACACGCCTCCAGTAAATGTGTGCTGAACGATTGGATGAATGGGTCAACTTCTGAACCCCACCCCAGAAGGGTCCAGCCAGGCACCTGCCTTTCCTGATTCCCTGGTGTGATGCTGTCTCCCCAACAGGACCCCCCATCATCTCCAGCACCCAGACCCAGCATGCCCTGCATGGGGAGAAGGGCCAGATCAAGTGCTTCATCCGGAGCACACCGCCACCCGACCGAATCGTGAGTGCTCTGGGGCCGGGAGGGGAGGGCTGGGGGACTCCCCTGGCGGCTCATCTCAGACCGCCTCTTCCTTACAACCACCAGGCCTCTGAGCTTCCCATCCTCTGTGGGGAAAATTATACCTGCCTTGTCTCTCTGGGAAAGGCATCATGAAGACAGTGTGCTCCCAGGGCCGGTCTGCAAGTGTCTTTAACTCTGCTCTGCTGTCCACATGTGCCCTAACAGTAATAACAGTAATGCTTCCAACCAAGTTCTGCGTCCTAGGAGCAGAGGGGCAAGTGAGGGTAGCAGAAAGGAATGATAAGCGATTGCTTCCCTTTCCTGGGTTCAAGGCCAGTCTTTGGCAAAATCCTAGACAGAGTGTGGTTTATGGTCGGCAACCCCCTTTCTTCACCCCTCCAGAGTCCTCCTCTGTTGGCCTCCAGGTGCCCGTGGATTGCCCTGCCCCACTTACCAAGTTCTCCCCCCAAAAATTTCATTCCATTGTCCCTCCCTTGTGCAAAACTCATCCCCGTCCCTGCAGTGCCACTAAGGCCACCTGAAGAGTTCACACTTGGGCCCTTGCCAGGTGTTTGCATTTATAAAAGCCAGGGTCTTCACCCAAGTCCATCTGAAACCGGTGGGAGCCTAGGCACGAAAACAGAGAAGGGGAAGCATTTTCTAGCATTAATGGAAGTCAGATACTATTTTTAGTGGTCCCCAATGCCTAGCGTAGTCCTGATAGAAGACTGCCCTACGGTCAACTCCACCAGGGAGGACGTAGGGGGTGCACACTGAGCAACCAGGGCATGTGTGTGCCAGGGGCTGGGACGTTGAAGCTGTAAACGCTCAAGGTGTCATCCTATAAACTCTGATACGGTTAGGGCATCACGTGTGTTACACACTTTTTCAGGCATCCAGCTCATTCACTGTCTGAAAAATTCACACACAAATTGCAAGAAGTCATACATAGAACTAATACCTATGTGCCCCCTGTTCCCTTCACCCTTTAATTTTTTTTAAGTTGTAACTGTAACCCATGCCCATCAGAATAATCCGTTCACTATTGAGCGTGTTCGCACGATCTTTCTCTTCATAGAGATCTAACTCTTGGCCCGCGGTTCTCAATGGGACAAGATCCCCCGCCCAGGGGACATTTGGCATTGTCTGGAACATTTTTGGTTGTCACAGTTTGGAGGGGTGCTACCAGCATCGAGCAGATGTTGGCCAGGGATGCTGCCAAACTTCCTACGATGCACGAGCCAGCCCCCACAACCAGGAATGTTCCAGTCCAGAATGTCACCAGGGCCAAGTCTGAGGAAGCACTGGTGCCTCACCCACCACCGCCGAGCACTTACCTGCAGAGATTGTCACATTCTCCCCAATGCCGAAAACCAGGCCTGTGTGCTCACACGCTGACAAATGTGAAAAGGCTCCAAGAAGAATTCCACTCTCAGCCTTATAAACTAAGACAGGTTAAGATGGTCACAAGTACAACTCTTGGAACATATGTTTGTACAAAGGAGCAAAGTGACAAAACTAGGCTCAGTCACTCTGGGGCTGGTCTTCTTCTCCCACCTGCCAGGGCAGCTGAGGGCCCGCTGAGGGCGGGGGCCTCCCATTGCTGTCACAGGGTTCCCTGTCTGCCTGGAAGGTGTCCCAGGGAAGAGCCACAGAAGGCCCCTGTCCATGGAAATGCCCTCCGAGGTGGCCCAGCCTTCGTGTGCGCGTGCATGGTTATGTGCGTGTGGTCTGGTGTGTGTGTTGTGTGCACACGTCTGTGGCGTGTTGGGATGTGTGTGCGGACCCGTGGGCATGATGCTGCTGGATGCAAGCCTGGCAGCGTCCGGCCTGGAGCAGGGAGGTGGCAGGGCGGCGCTGGCGGGGGGGGGGTTCTCTTCCTCACTCTGCACACCTCGGACAGGCCTGGTCCTGGAAGGAGAACGTGCTGGAGTCGGGGACGTCGGGGCGCTACACGGTGGAGACAGTCAGCACCGAAGAGGGGGTCATCTCCACACTGACCATCAGCAACATTGTGCGGGCCGACTTCCAGACCATCTACAACTGCACTGCCTGGAACAGCTTCGGCTCCGACACGGAGATCATCCGGCTCAAGGAGCAAGGTGGGGGCCGCCAGGGCCGCCAGGGGATGACAGGACCAGCAGGGCCCCTCCCTGCCTGGGGTAGGGCCCCAGGCAAGGTCTTCCAGGATCTTGAGCCAACAAAGCCCACCTGAGGCCACAGGCAGGTTGAGCCAGAGGACAAGTCACAGAGCACTTCCTAACTTGCTCCACAGCCTTGGTCAGGTCACAGGAAGTGGCCCTCTGTGGTCCAGTTCCCCCAAGGCCAAGGCACACCAGGAAAGGAAAGGGGGAGGAAACCTGCTTAGGTTGGTGGTTCTCCAGGACGGTGTTTCAGGAAAAGGTGACCACAGAGCGAGCCAAGCTGATTGCCATGAGGAGCCTTCCAGCAGCTTCTAAGGGCCCTGGGTTCTGTGCACTCAGCGTTTCCCTAGTGTCCTTAGGGGGGTGTCATCCACTGAGGAGTGTCCCTGCGGGGGTACACCAGGACGGATGTGTTGGGGAACCTGGCCCAGCGCATTAAGACAATAAGCCAGTCTGGTTCCCCAAAAGTCCCCCAGAGGGTGCTCATGCTAAGCTAAGGGGTAGTACTTGAGCTGCCCCCAACCCCTGGTACATGGTGGTGGGGTCAGGTTCAGATCCCCTGCAGTTCCTCCAGGACCATAGAAGACCTATGGACCACTGTGCTCTGAAGGGCACACCGGCCAGAGGGCAGCGCTGGGCGGGAGGGCTCAGACCTGCTGGCTGGGCGAGGAGGTGGATCAGGAAGGCTCACCCCCCTGTGACCCCGTGTACAGACTGCGCATCTCCTGATCAGAGAGATGCTGAGAACTCTAGTCTCCGCTTCAAGGTCTCACGCGGACCACAGGCTGGGAGCCTCCGAGGGGCACCGCAGGGTGGCTCTGAGCCACTCGGCAGACAGCCAGCAGTACACGGAGCCTGAAATGGGCCACAGATCTTGCCCCTTTGCCAGGGGGGCTCAGTCTATGGCAGACAGGGTGGTCCAGGCTCCTCGGCCCTGGCAGTGTCCAACCCCTCCAAGATGCAGGTGCACCCACAAACTGTCAGGGCCTGGCAAGAGATTCCGGGCCACGCAGGTGGTCTCAGCTGGACCCCTCGGACCTCAGCGCTACCCTGTGGATCAGTGTCTCCCTACACCTCTTCACTAATAATGCTGCTTTGCATAATGCTTTGCACATAATTTGCATACTATCATCCACACATCATCCTAAACCCTCCCAGTCCCCCGTTGCTTGCCCTCCATGTCTTCCTCTGAGTGCCCCCACCCCCATGCCCTCCCCTTAGTGTTCTCACCCCACCCTCTCCAGACACCCCCCTCCTCCCAAGCCTTAACTTCTTTCTCTGGTCCCTACCCCTCTGGAGTCTCTTCTAAGTCAGTATGAAAGAATACCCAGTTCAGTTCAGCTAGCCTGGGTCTGTTGGGTGGTCCCGGAAACATGAGAGAGGAGGGAGCCCCTCATCCCGATCCCCACCAGGTGGCCGGCCCCAGGCCCACCCCACCCTGGCCAGCCAGGCCCTGGCTGTGGACGCTTGCTTTATTTCCAAACAGGTTCGGAAATGAAGTCGGGAGCCGGGCTGGAAGCAGGTACGGAAGGAGACATGAGAACTCCCCGGGCTGGGAGGAAGGGACCTCTGGGCTAGTTGGGGAGGGACCCTAAAGGGGTAGGGAGGCCTATGCAGGCCGCTAACTTCTCTGCCCTCCCCCCACCTCCAGGCTTTAGTGCAGCCAGAGCAGGGAGAGGGGTTCCCAGCCAGCTCGGGCCTAGAGACCCCAGAGACCTATCTCCTCTGTCGCCAATGCCAGAGCCCACAGGCTGCTTGCAGCCCAGGACACCGGCTCTCACTCCTCCCCCTCTGTTCCTCCCATCCCGTCTCTTCGGAAACCCTGCCTCCTCCCCTCTGGGTTCAGCTCGCCCCTGGCCTGGCCTCCCTCTGTTTCCAGGCTCTCCTGGACTCTTCCGGCTTCTCAACATCATTACCAGCTTGGCCATGCTTCCCAGGACTCCAGGGCCTCCCAGCCCCTGGGCCTGCATAAATCCATGCTAATCCATGCTTTCTGCTCACTGCCTCTTCCCCCTACTCCTGCCTGCCTTCCCCTTCCCCCCCCCCCCGCCCCCCCCCCGTGAAGTGTCATCCACCCCGGGGCTCAGGCTGCGGGGCAGTGCCTCCCTCCCCACGTGCCCAGCAGCAAGGTGGTCCTCAGGCTCCCAGGGTTGAGTTGCTCTGTCTTAGGACCCTACACAAGACAATTGCCTCCACTCTCCAAGCAGAAACCCAAAAAGAGAATCAGGACGTTGCAAGCCAGACTCCATGGAGCCGACAAGAGCCATGAGCAAGATGTGGGGGTCCTCTGCCACATTGACCCTGAAGGAGCTAGGGCCCTCCAGTCCCTTCATCAAGCTCCTTGTGGGGCCCACACACCCTCCCCTCTGGGCGGATATGCCCTTTAAGAGCACCAGTCTGGGCCCAGGCAAGCTCCCAGGGGAAGTACACAGACTCCTGTGGTATTCTCCCTCAGCACCACTACTGGTGCTGGAGGTGGTGTCACCTTCTTGTCTCCATGTCACCCGTCTGTTCACACTCATCTGCAGCTCCCTGACACCTTCCTTCCTGGCTGAGACTCCTCATGCCCAGTTCCCCTCCTTGGATGGAGGTGAGGCTGAGCAGGAGGGTGGCTCCTTCCTCCCGCCCCTCTCCAGGGAACATCCAAGAGGGACAGCCTGCCCATGCGGCCTTGGCCAGACCCCAGATAGCCAGGCAAGGAGGAAACACACACAGGCGGGCTGCAGAGGGACTGCCACCCTAGTGGTCCCCCTGACCCCAGCAGACCCTCTCTCTGTCCCAGCCCCCCCCCCACTCGGAGACAGTTCTCCAGATAAGACGGTGCCGTATAACAACTGAAGGAAATGTGGCCTCACAAGATGCCCGGGTCAGAAGTCACCTTAGATACTGTTGCCTGGTCCTCTAGTTGGACGGGAGAGACATCGAGGCCTGCAGAGCTTAAGGAACCTTCCATGGTCATCCTTTGGCTTTGAGCTCAGCTGAGACAAGACTCGAGTGTTTCCAAGGAGACTTACTAGGAATCAAGGAGGAACCAAATCGAACCCAAATTAATAAAATTCAAATGTACAGAGCCAATGAGCTTCCAAAGCAGTTTTCCTTGCCTAACAGAATTAAAACCCAAAGACAGAAATCATCTACGTACCAAAGCAAGCTCATGGGTCTGACTGAGGTCTACTGAGGTCAGGTCCCCTTTGTCACTCCTGACTGTTGAGACCAACCCAGACCCCTCCCATTTTTAATCCCTGCGTATTCTCCGCACCCCCTTCTCCTGTCCCCTCCCCTGCCACTCTCACAGCGGTCTCAGCCACCAATAGGCAGGTGATGAGTGCACTGTTGTGCACATCCAGCCTAACCACCAACGCTGCCCACCCCGGGCACCTGCTCCTCCCGGGAGGGGGCGACCCACCGCCACCACCCAGCTGCACCTCCAGGGGCCAGGGCTGGAGGGTTTCTTCCTCTCTTTCCCTCTTTAAAGCAACCAACAGCAATGAGAGGCTAACCCACAGCCCAAGACAAAGTCCCAGACATCCTGCAGTCATCCACACTGACAATGTGGGGCAGGTTAGGGGGCAGGGAGCTCAGGCTCTAGAAGGAATTTTCTTCTCATTCAAGGTTCTGATCTTGCTACATTTCTCCTACCCCTCCAGAAACTGGAGCAAACACTTGACTAGGACTGGTGCCAGGCTCAATTTCAAGGTCTTTCCTTGCATTCACTCATGGAGTGAGTGGTTACTCACCCTGTAACCACCCCCTGAGGTGGGCACTGTAATGATCCCATTTTAGAGATAGAGAGGTGAGGTAAGTTGCTCAGAAAAGGTGCTGGCGTCTGGGCTGTCCAGAGCACGTGAACTTTGGAGGATGCTGTGTGATACAGCAGACGGAGCTGGGGAGCAAGAGGAGGCCGGGATTTGCCCTGGCCTTCTGCAGCTGTGTGTCCTTGACTGAGTCATGCGACCTCTCTGGACCTCAGTGTTTCCATCTATAAATGGGAGGTTTGGATTCAGCAGGCCGTAAGGTCTCCCTGCCCCCAAATTTTCTAATTCTATTCCCAATGGACTATACGGGGCTCCAAATCCTGTACTCCAGCCCACATGCAGCCACAGAAGGGCCAGGGCTGTCTGGAAGAGCACACACACACACACACCCCAATATACCCTCCCCATCCGCATCTCCACCAGGCTAGGGCACTGAACAGATAAACTCAGCAGGGAGTGAGGGCTTGCCTAGCTGGAGTTCTGGGCCCCTCACAGAGAGGGCTACCAGGATGCCTGGGGACTGGCCCGGGAAGAGAAGGAGCAGAACTGGGGGGTGGGGGGGCCAAAGAAAAGGAGCATTTCTCCTTAGAGAGGTGGGGGGCAGCTGCGATCCTGACCACCCCCCTTGCGCCTAAGACTTGGGCCTCTGGCAGCTACTACCCTGATGCCCGGCAGGCCCATGAGGACAAGCTGCCTCAGGCCTGAGAACTCTCTAAAAGCTGGTGGTGCATGTCCATCCTCTGCACCTGGGAACGGGAAGAGAAGGAGAGCACAAACCAGGCAAACAAGGGAAGTGACCATAGTCGTTTTTCAAAAAAAAAAAATCCAGGACTTTCTACTCTCCAGCCCCGCATGATAAGACTATTCCTGGTTTAGTACAGAAGGGAGCTAAACGGTACCACAGCCTTGCTTCTCATCTCCAGGTAGCCCTCCCTGGCCCTCCCCTCCCCATGTCTGCCTGCCTTCCTCCCCACCCACCTCTTCCCTCGTCCCTCGCACCCCCTCCTCGGTCCTGAGTCCCTGAGTCCCGCTGGAGCTGACCCGTGTTGGAACTCTGCCTGGGCCCGCCCAGGCCCCACCCCCCACCCTCACCCCTCCCCAGGCACTTCCCAGGAGGGCCTGAGTGCAGGCGTCTGGCCCTAGGGGCTGCCCCCCCGAGGAAACTGGGGAAGGCCCTGGTGGGGAGAGTGGGCTGTCCCTGATTTCCCATCGGCTGTGCCTGCTTCTCTCCCACAGAGTCTGTGCCGATGGCCGTCATCATCGGGGTGGCCGTAGGAGCTGGTGTGGCCTTCCTCGTCCTTCTGGCAACCATTGTGGCCTTCTGCTGTGCCCGCTCCCAGAGAAGTACGGGAGGGAGACCCGGGATCTCAGGGAGGGGGACAGAGAAAAAGGCCAGGCTTAGACTGCTCCGGAGAGCAAGTAAGCAGGAGTGCCGTGAGCAGGGGGCCCTAACCTGCTGTGAGCTGCTGGGGTAGGGATGGGGTCTTTGGCATCTTCTTATGTGCAGTGCTTTACGTGGTGTCTGGCACGTAGTGGGCACGCAACTGATGTGGAACTGGACGGAAGTGAGCTTCGTCTTCCAAGGCCGTCAGCCAGCACTTGGGATTGAGCACCTATGGCTGGATGGAACCGTAGAGAACTCTGGGAGGGGGTTGGGGGGAGGTGGCTTGATCCTTGCCCTCCAGGTTCTGCTAGTCTAACCAGAGAAGTAGGTCACCCACACCGAAGGGGAGAAAAGCACTCAAGGAATCCCTTTGTGAAGACTTTTAAAGGTATGCAGTCACTAGCGATAAAATTCTGACGCCCGTGCACTCTTGAGGAATCACTCGGACCTGGAGTTCCAGCCCGAGCGCAGCTCTGACGCTACTTGTCAAGGGCGGACGCGCGGACGTATAAACTGGGAGGACTGAGTGAAGGAAGCCAATGGGGGCTCGGGTTTCTAGCCCCGCCTTTTTCTGCCACCAATGGGGGCTCGGGCTTCTAGCCCCGCCTTTTTCTACCACCAGTGGGGGCTCAGGCTTCTAGCCCCGCCTTTTTCACATGAGTCTGGGCAGGCCGCCACTATTCCCGGCCTCAGTTTCCTTGCGTGGAATAGTAAGGGATTGCGTGATGAGACTTTTATGACCCCACTGGCTCTAACGTTCGATGATCCTAAGGCACAGGATGAATAATCAGAAGAAGCCGACTCCCTCCACCACTTGGATGTGTTAGAAGAAAGCGGGGTGTCCCCCACTAGGTTTTCTCCACCCCAAGCCTGGCAGCCATGGCTCTCTTGCTTGCCCCCAGTGATATGGTCTTGGAAGCTCCCTGACCACCCTCTCAGTGGAAATTATAGGGGAGCATGTTTTAGCAAGAGTCTTCTAACAGAGCTCCCCGACTCTCAATCAGCTGCCTCCCCTAGAAGCCGTAAAGTCTCCACCACTGAAGCATTGACCCAAGAGCTGGACCGCCACGTGTCAGGGATGTGTCTGCTTTGGGCGGGGGATGGACCATGGGACCCCGAGGCCCCTTCTGACAGTAAGATTAGCGATTCTCTGAATGGAGAGAGAAGAGCCTGGTAGACTAGGCCAGGAAAGACTTCTAGAAGGAGGATAAAAAGGACCTAGCTCTGTGAGGCAGGTGAATGCACGAGGATGGCCTCTCAAGCCAGGGCAGCAGAGTGGAAGGCTGAGGTGCACCTAACACGACCCACAGAGAAAGAGAGCCGAAGCCCCAACAGCCCATAGCACATCCAGACAGGTGTTCTACTGGGGTGGGGGTGGGGGCTGGAAGCTACTGAGTTCAGGGGCTGGACGGTGAACCCTGGGGGCGGCGGGGGAAGTGGGGGCTCGACATCTCAGGCCCTGACGCCTGAGGATGAGGACTGAACCTGTCATCTACACTTTCCTATTTTACATCCAGATCTCAAAGGGGTTGTGTCGGCCAAGAATGACATCCGAGTGGAGATTGTCCATAAGGAGCCTGCTTCCGGCCGGGAGGCTGAGGAACACCCCACCATCAAGCAGCTGATGGTGAGAATCCCATCTTATCCCCACCCCATCCCGATCTCTGTGCCCTGAAGGTCCTGGTTCCAGAGGCTTCTTGGTGGCCTGGATGCTGCCGAGAAGCAGAGCATCGGTCAAGATGTGCCCTCCCCCCATAATAGGTCAGGCACCCATTCTCCGCCAGCAAAGAGTTATTGTCTGTCTGCTACATTGCACTTGGTGTTCTGGGAGACTCAAAGCCATCTAAGATGCCATCCCAGCTTTCAAGGAACCTGACTGTTCAGTAGAGAGACAACACATGCATAAAGTGCCATAATATGTTGTCACTTAGTACATAATTCTATACACACATGAATATGATAGATATTCAGTACATGCCCTGCCCCTCCCCCAAACCCAGCCCCAAAAGTCTACAAGAAATACAGCTTCCTCTTCAGGAACCCGAGTCCTCACCAGAAGAAAACTCATAACTTCTTCAGCAAACCTAAGCCTGCCCCTCTTCCTGATTCCTGTTACTAGACCATAATCCACCCAGCTGCACAAGCAGGAACCTGGGAAACTGTGCTAGAAAACTCTAGGGCATACTATGTCATGGTTCAAATACCTTGAGGGAGTAGCAGCAAGCCCGGGGTGAAGAGCCGGGAGCCTGCCTGTGCCTCGGTCTCCCCACCTGTGAAGTGGGGATGAAAGTCGTAGTGCACAAGGCCGTGGTGACGGCCGAATGAGTAAAACCATAAAGGGCTTGGAGCCTGTAGAACACAGTAAGTGCTCAGGAAATGTTAGCCACTGTGTTGCTGTAAAATCACCCTTTCCCTTATCTGTCTCCGCTAGATGGTGAGCAAGCTGCCTTGTTCATCCCTGAGACTCCAAAGACTCTCAGCCCCTGGTGGAGGCTCACCAACATGATTGAGCTGAACTGACATTTTCCTCACCCGGTCTTTTTCTTTCCAAATCTCATTCTCTGGTCCTTTCAATTCCACTTCAGAAACTTTCTCAAAATGTGTGCCCTTGCCCCTGTCCCCTTATGACTTCCCTGATGGGGCCTTATCATGGCCCCCTGGACTAGTACCACAGCCTAGTGGTCTCACCACCTTGTTGTTGTTGTTTTTTTTAACCACCTTATTCAATCCACCCTCCAGAGTCCCACAGAAAGGGTCCTTCTAGAACGAAAATTGGATCCTGTTACTATCCTACTTAAAATATCTCAGTGGCTCCCCCTGTCTACTAGATAAAGTCCAACCACCAAGCATGTCTCAGGCCCTTCATGGAGAGGTGGCAGCTGCTGGCCTTTCCAGCTCCATCTTCCTACTAAATGTACCCGGCCCTCCAGACACTCCAAAAACTTGCTGTTCCCAGCCTTTGAGTCTTTTATACCTCTGAGACTTTACACAGGCCTGTTGATCTTGCCTATTAAATTTCACATTCTCCTAGGAGAATCAGCTCAAATGTCACTCCCTCCATCATTCTCCATGCTTGTCCCTGACCCTCTCCCCCGTCCCCACTGCTGGCAGAGCTACACACTTCCTGCTCTCCTCAAACACGTTGCATGCTCCTCTTTTATAGTGCATTGCTCGGATTACACGTCAGCTCCCCGATTATCTCAGAGCTCCAGAAGGGCACATTCCCAAATCTATGCGTATCCGTTTCCCCCAGGCCAAACACAGTGCCTGACACAGAAGAGCAATTAATCTTACAAGAGTGGAAACCAGAGCCTAGATCCAAGAAGGAATGGATGTCTCTGTAGATGAGCTTCATCAAGGCTGGTGTGGAAGTATCCTGACGTGTCCTTCCTCCCAAAAAGGACCTTTAATTCCCTCCCACTGGGACATCCTGATTGCCTCAGAGTGTCTCCACACCCTGCAATCCAAACCTTGAGAAAGAGTGGGGGGTCACTCAGTAGTCAGTTAAGAGGGTGTGTGAGGTTGGGTGGGGGGAGGGACCCTGGCAGAGGGACCTGCTGGGAGCCTCCCCTCCCCCACTCCCCCCCACCCCTTGGCCCCTGTAAGGCCCCAACATTGATGAGAGGTAGGCTTAGAAGTTGAATCTAGTGGGAAAGCCCTCCAATCCAGGCAGACACAGAACATTTACTGGAAAATGAAAAAAAGCAGCAGCAGTGAGGGCGAAACAGAATGGAAACCCTCTGGCTGATGCCATGAGGCTCCAAAAAGAGACCAAGAAAGTGAGTCACAAGAGAGAAGAGTGGGTGGGAGGCTGTTCTAGATCATATCGTATGCAGAAGTGACACCCGGGAAGCATGTGTGTGCCACAGGATAAGTAAGCGTCACCGTGGTTATCCAGATTCATGTACCCACCGTGTGCCAAGCATGCTTGATTTTCCACCTTCCATCTAACTGTTACTTCCATTTTCAGTGATCAAGAGCTATGCCATTCCATTCATTCATCCAACACAAACATAACATTTGCAACAGCCCTACGGTCTATCAGGCACTGTGCTAGGCATGACAAATTAAAACAGTTACCTGTGATTTCACCGCCAAAGCATTTTGGTCAATGACCACAACAGACAAGGCGCTGTGCCAGGTGGGCTGGGGACCCAAAGAGAAGCTAAAAGTGGTCCTTGCCCCAAGGTTCTTTGGCCTCTGTTAGGAAAGTAACGTTTAGTACATCGAAGCCATTGCTATGAATAACAGGTGTGGCCCATGTTGCCAGCATCTCACAGGTAGTCCTGCACTGTGATTCTTTCCTACACGGAGCCTAGCACTGGGTGATGAGCTGCCCTGCTGGGACCCCAGACTGTGCCCTCTGAACCCAGAGGTTCTGTAATTATTTATCTACACACCCAGCTCCCTGTTGTGTATAGCCCTATCTTAGTGTCCCTCAATGTGTGTATGCCTGGCCTGAAATTCACTAAATGCTCAGTGAATCGAATTGAATCATCCAAGTGAGATCTCTGGAGGTCATGCCCTAGCCCAAGGGAAGAAAGTGTGGTCTTAGCAAACTGCCCTGCCCCTCCCCCACTCCTCCTGTCTCTCCCTGTCTCTCAGCACAGGGATCCAGGAACGATGACGACATCTGAGATCTCCCCATGCCTCCTCTACCTGCCTTCCATGGGCCAGCCAGGGACAGGAGGTGGGGCGGGGGGGGAGACAGAGATGGCAAGCTTCTTTTGAGTTCATTCTTCTATCTTTTCCTTGGGGGAAGTGGACGCTTAGCCCACCTCCAATCCACTGAGCAGCCATTTTCGGGTTGTAGATGGACCGGGGTGAATTCCAACAAGACTCAGTACTGAAGCAGCTGGAGGTTCTCAAAGAAGAGGAGAAGGAGTTTCAGAACCTGAAGGTAAGAATAGCCACAAGTTGGAAGTCACCGCTGTGGAATCCTGACTTCAGCCCTCATGCCTTAAGGCCCAGATCCAGACAAACAAAGACGGGAAACGAGGAGGCCAGAGGTCACCTTGAGGACAGGTGCCTAGTCTCTCTCTCTCTCCCGGAGGTGGGACGCTCGCCTGCCCCGCGAGGCCGGGGGAGTGAAGGCTGCGGTCCCACGGTCCTCCTCTCCCACAGCTTCCTCACAAACACCGTTTTTAAATTAAGTAGCCCTGTTCTGGACAAAAACACAAAAACCCTTCAAGGCCGGCTTCTCAGCCGCCTTTGCCCCGCCCCGACCTAGTGACACGTGGCGCGTGGAGCGCCCCCTGCCGCACGCCCGCGGCCCCTCGCCCCCCCGCCCCCCCCCGCAGTCCCCGCCGGTCCCGGGCCCGCTGCGGGGGCCCGCTGCACGGGGACGCGGCCGCCAGCCAGCCCTTTCAGCTGCCCTCCCCGTGCCAAGGAGGACCGCCTCGGAAGGCTGTGCCCGCCGGGTGACGCGGCTCTCGCTCTGGCCCCCTCCCAGGACCCCACCAATGGCTACTACAGCGTCAACACCTTCAAAGAGCACCACTCGACCCCCACCATCTCGCTCAGCAGCTGCCAGCCGGACCTGCGCCCCGCGGGCAAGCAGCGCGTGCCCACGGGCATGTCCTTCACCAACATCTACAGCACCCTGAGCGGCCAGGGCCGCCTCTACGACTACGGGCAGAGGTTCGTGCTGGGCATGGGCAGCTCGTCCATCGAGCTCTGCGAGCGCGAGTTCCAGAGGGGCTCCCTCAGCGACAGCAGCTCCTTCCTGGACACGCAGTGTGACAGCAGCGTCAGCAGCAGCGGCAAGCAGGACGGCTACGTGCAGTTCGACAAGGCCAGCAAGGCCTCTGCCTCGTCCTCCCACCACTCCCAGTCCTCCTCCCAGAACTCCGACCCCAGCCGACCCCTGCAGCGGCGGATGCAGACTCACGTCTGAGGATCCCAAACCGGCGCTGGGGAGGGGCTGGGGAGGGGCTGGGGAAGGGGCGGGGGGAGCGTGCCACCTTCTGGCTCTCCAGAGACTGTGGGTGCTTTGCAGAGGACCCCAGAACCGGCCGCCTCCAGGACAGCACCCCCACGCCCCGTGCCTCTGCGACCGCCCTCCTCCGAAGCCCCTGATCAAGCACAAACCCGGGTCCCCAGCTGCAGCGGGCCAGAGGCGGGCGGGTGGGGACGCGGTCGGAGGATGCAGCTGGGTGCGCTGGGCTCGGTGCTGGGCCTTCC